TAAAAAGATAAGCTATTATGAAAAGATAATATAAAAAAGATGAATATATATAGAAATGATAAAATAAAAAGGCTGCAAATAATGCATATATATATAAGGATAAAAAAAACTAGGAAAAAAAGATGAGGGAAAAAGATTATCAAGATCACTCCTTCACGTGAATACCCGCCCTCCACTTAGTTCTCTCCAAAGTCATGCCCTCATCCAACCCCAGAAGAAGCATATCACTTCGAACTCCCCTAACCCACGTCTGTTTGGGTCTTCCTCTCCCTCTCTTCCCTGCCTCTTCTCCACACATCTCAACTCGCCTAACAGGTGCATCACTCGGTCTTCTACTCGATTGATTAAGGGGTAATACATATAAGCATACCCGATCGGTTGTGTTCTTGTACCCGATCGAGTATGTGTAAAACCTCAGATCCGATGTATACTCGATCGATTTCAGGCTTAGTTTTGAAAGGGTACCCGATCGGGTGTGTCGGTGTACCCGATCAGGTATAGACACTCGATCGTGGTCCAAATCTTCTCTGCCTGTTCCTTTGTCTTTGGATCCAATTTGATTTGAGATTTCAACAAGATACCCGATCGAGTATAGGTCATACCCGACTGGGTATAGACCAAAAATCAGGATCTTTATTTCATCTTGTGATTTTGCACTTTCCTTCCACTTTTGGGGTTCACCAACTGTTCTTTTAGTGATCATGGACCTGTTTGAGCTCAGAATAAACCTAATCTAAACAATTTACAAGTATTTTAACAAACTAAACTATTACACCAAAAGTGTGTAAATTCCAAAGTAACAATCAACAAAAACTAATAAAAACATAAACATAAACATGGAAGTTATATGTTTATCAACTCCCCCCACACTTAGTTTCTGTACTCATCTTCGAGTAAAGTTAAATGTTCACAAGTGTCAAGTCTTACAAAGTTCCCACAATTTGACAAGAGAAAAAAAACACAAAGACCACCAAGGATAAAAGATGAGTTTTCAGCTCAAATTACAATATCTTCTTGGGTTTTATGGTCTTCTAGTGCTAATCTTCTCTTTCCCTCCTTTCTTCTTCCTCTTTTTCTTCTTCATCTTCAAGAGATCATGTCCTGCAACAACAAATATATCTCTCATATCTCTCATTTTGCCTAGGAGCCTTTTCAGGTTTTCATCCTAGCATCTCTTTTATTTTTCATTCCTTACCACTCACTCATTTTTTTATAAGCCCTTGGTTCTTATATTTCCCGTATTTGGGTTTTCAACCTAACTAGCATTCATTTCTTTTATTTATTTATTTATTTATTTATTTATCATTTTTTTTCATTCTCCTTTTTTTGTGTACAAAGAGTACAAGAAAGTAATGCTTAGTATAAGGTAAAAACAAGAAAGAATTCAACATACCAAAAGATGAGTTTTCCTCCCCCACACTTAGATCAAGGCACTATCTTTAGTGCCCATCCGCACCGCCATAGTAGCTTCCTCCAAAACCGCCCCCAAAGCTGCCATCAAATCCGCTACCGGTGCCGCCATCCCCCATTGTGTCATTGCCTCCACACCGGAGCTTGAACCGCCAAAGTTACCCCAATGAGTGGGGTCATACCAAGAGGGTGGGGGTGGAGGAGTGCCCATAGTATGAAAAGATCCTTGATGGGCTATGTAGGAGTACATAGGTCCATAGAACCTACATTGATCCTCCTCATATCTCCGATTGTTGGCTTCCCGAAGCTCCTCTATCCGTTGAAATCCTGCTCTTTTCTCCTCCTCTACTCGGGTGAGCCATTCTCCCATAGCCGTGTAGTTGAGGTTCATTTGGTGGAACCCTGCAAGTAGTTGTTGTTAACCCTCCAAAAGTTGTTGGAAATAGTTGGGTGGTGGAGGGTCTTGGGGCTGTTCGGGGATGTCTGCGTCCATGTCCTAATGATCATGGGGTTCGGCATTATGCTCGTGTTGAGGGTCTTGGAGATGAGGTGGAAGTGCATTGGGGAATAAGTAATGGGGCACTTCTATGTTGTACAGTAGTCGGGGGAGTTCCGGGTTAGGCATGGGGAAGTGTCTTATAGGCTTGGGATGTATGAGCCAATTGTACACATTTCATGGATGGTCATCCCCATACACCATGTGAGAGAATGTCGTGCACCCCGAGTGGCCCAACCAAGCCATATTCATCAAACAGTAGTCGGGTATAGGAGAGTTATCCGTATACCCGAACTTGGTCACCAATGCATGATCACCCCACCCACAACAATTGGCCCTTTGGTCGTGCTTTTTTTTAAGTGTGCCCACATCAAATTGCACAAATTGAAGTCCACAACCTGACGTAACAGAACCCAGTAATCAAGCATATGTCCTCCATCCTCGTATGGTGATTGTTGGGGCGTCCAAGCAAACAATTCGCCAAAAATTTTAAAAATAACCTTAAGATGGGGTGTTAGACATGGCTTATGTACAGTTGGGAGGAGCTAAAGTACAGTTCACCGGTCATGTTTGTCCAAAGTGTGTGCCCGAGCACGGTATTATCGGAAATGGCTTTTTCGTAGGGGACGGGGATGCCAAAGTGTTCGGCAAACTCAAGTTTCATTATCGAATATTCTTGGTTGAATAGACGAAACGTGAGTTTGTCATCCCTAAAGTCCTCCTCAATGCTCTCAAAGTGCACTGAACTCATGCATTCATAGATAATTATTTCATTAGAGTTGTATTTCATTTTGATAATACGGTTCATGTCCAACTCATGAAAGAATTGCTTAGTACTCCTATAAATGCCTATTTCACGTAGAGCCTCGTGGCATAGAAAACGGGAAGGTTTTACTTGCCTTGTTATTGTAGCGAGAATTCGAGTTCAGTGTTCGGTGTTGGCGAATTGGAGGTCCTCGTAGTCCGGGATGGGTGTCATGTTGTTGGAGCTGTCTCCTTTGCTCTTCCTTGGTGCCATTTTGGTGTGGTTTGAGGCTTGAAAACTCCAAATTTAGAAAATGGGGTAGGGTTTTCGGACCTTTGGGATTTGGGGGGGAAATTTGATTTTTGAGTATGGGTGTGTAGAGGAGAGTGAGGGGAGTATTTTGTTGGGGAATGGGGTGATTTGGTGGAGAATTGTGGGAGATATGGTAGAGAGAACGTTTGAAAATGGAGGTTTGGGGAGAGGGGTTCGAATTTTTGTGTTGAGAGTGAAGAAGATGAAGTGTTGGGGGCTGTTTCGGGGTTAAAACGCAGGTATACCCGATCGGGTATCCTGCTTTACTCGATCGAGTATTATGTTATACCCGATCGGGTACTGGAGGCAGGTTTTTTGGGCGATGGAATTTCCAGCACTACCCGACCGGGTAGGAAGTCATACCCGATCGGGTATTCGTCTTTTTGCACCTTTTGAGCTCCTCACTCAATCGAGTCTTCGAGGCAGGCTTTTTTTGGGCTTCGCTTTTCTATGAATACTCGACCGGGTATGTAATTGTACCCGATCGAGTATGCATGTATTTTTGAAAAATCTGGCTGCCTCGATCGAGTATTGAACTCGGTCCCTCTTTTTTAGCCATACCCGACTGAGTATGTAGTGATACCCGATCGGGTATGCCCCTGATTGTCAAAACCTGCATTTTCTTCTCCTTTGAAACATGTGGTTAGTGCCCTCTCTCCCGTTCTCTCAAAACAGAAAATGAAACTTTGAAACAAATTTAAAAGAAAATCTACGTACCTTGCTTGGGTTGCCTCCCAAGAAGCGCCTTAGTTAACGTCGTGGCACGACGTTATCTTTGCTCTTCATTCATAGACCGGTTCAGAAAGGTCTATGACTTCCACATTTTTGGGTTGAAAACCCTCAAAGAAAGGTTTTAATCGCTGTCCGTTCACTTTGAGGACCTCTCCCGTCTCCAGATCTTGAATTTCCACCGCCCCGTGTGGATATATTTTGACCACTTTGTATGGTCCAGTCCAACGGGATCTCAGCTTTCCCGGAAATAAACGAAGGCGTGATTGAAATAAGAGGACTTTATAATCAATTTTGAAGTCCTTCCTTATAATCATTTTATCATGCCACTGCTTCGTTTTTCTTTTGTATATTTCCGCATTGTCATAGGAATCAAGGCGGAGTTCTTCTAACTCTTGTAATTGGAGCTTCCTATGCACACCGGCCTCGTCAAGATTGAGGTTGAATTCTTTTACCGCCCAATATGACTTGTGTTCAAGCTCTACCGCAACGGTGCCAAATTTGACGAGCACTTTGTCACGGTGCGTCAAAATAAATCGATACTAACACTTATACGTAGTATAGGTGAAGTAGAGTTCGTATCCACAGGGAAAAGAATACTTTTCTTATTAATTTAAGAAGTAAGTAAAGGGGGGATTTGGATTGAATGATTTAATTTAATTAAAAACTAAGATGAATGACTTATATGAGGTTTAATTCAAGAATAAAAGGGACTTGACCTTGCTACTTTCCACTTGTTGATATATTTTAGTCGATCATTGTTATATCTATAACTTATCCCCTCTCGAATACTCAATCGAGTAGTAAACCCAATTCATCGAGGGTAGTTATTAACAACGACCGTTCATTAATAACCCTTACTATTAATCAAATATAGAACAACGCCTTATACCGATTTAATAGTAGCATTTAATCTTTCTAACTCCTTGATGAAATCAATTGAGATTGATAACCTCAACACAACGGTTTCGGTTTAACCAACAAAAATAATCCCTCTCAAGTTTATTAACCACGACCGTGCATTAATAAACCGAAGTTACTTACTTGTAAAACCATCAACGATTAACCATCGCTCCGTTGATCGTTTCTAGTAATAATTAATGTCGAAACGTTTACAAATCGTCATTTAGCAACCCTCCAACATTAATATAGAGATATATTAAGGGAAGAACTAATATTCAAGGAGAGAAGTTAAGAAAATAACTCACAACTTTAATAATCAACAAGCTTCAAGAGCAAAACCAAGAAATGGAAGTTTAGCTCCTCATTTGGAGACTAAACATACTAGAAAAATATAAAGAAATGCTATTCTAAACTCAACTTAAGAGTATATGTGAATTGGTGATCTAATTTTGAAGGGAAGGGGGTGTATTTATTGGCTTTTGGGGATGCAGGTCGGGTACCCGATCGGATATATACACGGTACCCGACCGGGTATGTGTAATACCTCAAATTCGAGGTATACTCGATCGATTAAGGGGTAAATCATATAAGCATACCCGATCGGGTGTGTTCTTGTACCCGATCGAGTATGTGTAAAACCTCATATCCGAGGTATACTTGATCGATTTCAGGCTTAGTTTTGAAAGGGTACCCGATCGGGTGTGTCGGTGTACCCGATCGGGTATAGACACTCGATCGTGGTCCAAATCTTCTCTGCATGTTCGTTTGTCTTCGGATCCGATTTGATTTGAGATTTCAACAAGATACCCGATCGAGTATAGGTCATACCCGACCGGGTATAGACCAAAAATCAGGACCTTTATTTCATCTTGTGATTTTGCACCTTCCTTCCACTTTTGGGGTTCACCAACTGTTCTTTTAGTCATGGACCTGTTTGAGCTCAGAATAAACCTAATCTAAACAATTTACAAGTATTTTAACAAACTAAACTATTACACCAAAAGTGTGTAAATTCCAAAGTAACAATCAACAAAAACTAATGAAAACATAAACATAAACATGGAAGTTAAATGTTTATCAGGTTTCTGACATCTGGCTGGCGAGGGGGGAGATCGTAGGCTTCCGGCTCAAATTTCTCAGGAGGGATGTTGAAATGCCAGACCAGCTTCCGGTATATCAAGCGCTGGGTGAAGAACTCACCCCTTGGTAATATGAGTCGTCTTTCACGGCCAACCACATTTTGCTGGGACCTTCAACCCAGGCATCCACACTCTTCTCCACCACCAAGGAAACCCACCATTTCCTATCTTCGGCCTTCCAGCCCTCGGAGACAAAAGCATCAACTGCAGATTTTTCGGCCACGGCCATCGCCTCGATCTTGGCCCTCTCAGCGGCTTCAGCGGCGGCTTGGGCAGCCTCCCCGGAAACACTCTCAGCTTCGGTCTTACCCTCAGCCCTGCCCTCGGCCTTAGCAGCCTTCAGCCGTTGGTCCACACCCTCTGTTGCCACCCGGAGGGTCTCCTCAATATCGGCCAGCTTTTACCGAAGGCCGACATTCTCCTCATCAGCAGCGATCTTGGCCTTCCTTAGCTGCTCGACCCTTTGGAGGTGCTCGCACATGCCCATATAGCTCTACAAGAATGGAAGAAACTAAGGGTCACACATTCACATAATAACGAAGGCCAATGAACAGACGTGGGAAGAAATAACTTACAGAGGCATTATTCAGGAGAATCCTCGACTCGGGGGCATCATCCTCCATCCGGGCTAGCAGGGACCTGTCACCCGAAGGCATCATCTGGCTCATATAGACCGAGGGGTTCAGATTGGCGTCCAGCACGGAGGTCCCTCTCGTTATAACAGCCTCCAGCTTCTCCCGGCCAAAGAAAGCCTCATTCACAAACTCCTGAGGCATGGGGCCGGGGCATCTAGGTCGTCCACAATGACCACATCGTCAGAGGCAGGCTGCTTACCAGAGTCAGTCACCTTCTGTTTCTTTGTCGGGGGCTCAAGCCCCTTCCCAGGCTTCTTCTTCTTGGCCGCATCGTCCTGGGAGCCACCGACCTCACCTCCAGCAGCTGCAGCTTTAGAGGGCACCTCGCCCCCCCTTCTGAAAGAAGGCATCCACAGGCTTTTGCTTGCCTGACTCCTTCTTGCTATGGGCCTTTCCCTTATGCCTCTTCATCGTCGCATAAGTTTGGACGTCCATGTTGCTACCTGCAAAGTAAAAAGAAAAAAAATGAGAACAAGGATTTCGCGACAACAAGAAAATCAAAACATCAAAAATTCTCCCAAGTACACAAAGCGAAAGCCTTAGGGAACCACCTCTGACGCTCTCATAAACCCGATCTATCACCGGGTACTTCTCATCCTGCTCTCCAAGAAGGCGATATCGCCGGAAGCCCAAGTCATATAGATCATCCGGGAGGGTGGCATCCTTGATGGTCACTCGATCCTCGGACCCCACCGGCGGAGCCGAAATCTTCTTCCCATCCTTCTCCAGGGCCGCGCTCCCCACTTTCGGATGCCTTCAGAAATTATCACGAAGGGGTCCGGGAAAAGGGTTCTCCGCCATACGGATGTAGCAAAATCGGTCCTTCCGGCCCTTGTGGGATGAGGGCACCTCAGAGAAGAGCCTCCACTCGGGGATCTGCTGCAAGGTAGTGAACCCTTCGCTATTTGTGTGCCCTCCCCGACACAGATTGAAGCTTTGAAAGAAAAGGTCAAGGGTCGGGGTGACCCATGAAGACCGACATAGGTGCAAGAAACCCATAATATAGGAATGGTTGTTAGGAGTCAGCTGGCAGCGGGCCAATTTCACGAAATTTAAGTACTCCACTAAGAACGGATGGAGGGGAAACCGAAGGCCCAATGTCACCGAAAGCATGTGCACAACAAAGCATCCCTCGGGAGCATGGGAAAGCACGTCATTAGGACCCGACTCTATCACCGTTGCCGAGGGCCCATCATAGAACTGGGCGAGATGATACTCAGCTTTGTCAGCCTTTGTCTTCAGTGCGAGGGCAGCAATATTTAAGAATGAATACCCCTCAGGAATACCGATGGGCTTCCTGGCATCTGCAGCCGCTTGCTTCTTCCTGGGGGATGCCTTCACATTCGTCTTCTTCTTCTTCGAAGGAGCAGCTCTAAGAGGTACCGGTCTAAGGGCTCGTGAAGTCCCTGCTCCACTGGAAACAGCCGAAAGGATAGCAACAGTCACCCGTTGTCGTTCCTTCTCCTCCTCCTCTTCGATCGTTTGAATGGCGATGGCAAGCTCCTCATCATTCGCCTCCTGTTCAAAACATTCGGCCTCAGCTTCGGCCCTGAGGTTGCTCTGGACCTCCACCGCAACAGCAGAGTCATTATTAGATGAAGCCTCCCCACTTGCTGACTTCTCATCTGACCACGTCTCGGATTGGACCGAGGGCTCTCCGGATATGTCTTGAGAATCGCTAGCCGAGGACATCTTGTGATGTATTATCGGAAGGTTTTCGAATGATATAAAAGTCTATGAATACTAACAACAAATCTAAGGAAGGCAAGAACGGAGGAAGAACTAACCTCGGAAGTAAGGGTTTGATCGAATAAGGCTTTCTCTCTCTAAGAAAATATTGGCAGAACTTCACTTCATTTATGATCGCACAAAGAAAATGGGTTCAGGCTAGGGGTATTTATAGCCTCCCCATCATTACGAACCATCGCCTCAGCCAACCGGTGACACCCGCCCGAAGCGAGCCAACTAGCACACGCCACGTGGACGCCTTTTCCTACAGTCATATCCCAACGGTCATATTCCGATGAATACTTCCAACGGTCATGTCCTCTGATCACGAACGGCCTCCAAGACCATCACCTTCATGACGAATGACCTCTCAGTGTCGTCGTCCTCAGTTCACAAACAACCCCTCAGCCTCGGCATCTCAGGCCCAGCTTCCTCAGCGTCGGACGTCTGGAGCTAGCAATAGGGCTCTCTCCATCCTCTCCGGGATGGGGACCGTTGCCCTCGCGACGGATGGCCTTTTAGTGTCGTCGTCCTCAGTTCACGAACAGCCCCTCGGCCTCAGAATCTCAAGCTCGGCTTCCTCAGCGCCAGGCGTTTCAGCTAGCAATAGGGCTCTTCATCCCTTCCAAGATGGGGACCGTCTTCTTCACGACGAACGACCTCTCAATGCCGTCATCCTCAGATCACGAGCGACTCCTCGGCCTCAGCGTGATCCTTTATTTCACGCCAAAGGGTTCTGTAACACCCCGGCCCGTATGACCCAAGGTAGTTACTCTAACACACCCTCCAAACCTCTAGTACTGTCCTCACAAACCACCACTAGCCTTTTCCGCACACTTTGTCCTCACTCGTGCGCGCCCTGAGAAACTTCCCAGGGGTCACCCATCCCAAGACTACTCTCGTCCAAGCACGCTTAACTTTGGAGTTCTTAGCTGACGAGCTCCCTTAAAAGGAGATGCACCTTGTTGGTATGAGTAGTACTATTAATCCGTTTAAATTAAATTTCAAGTATTACAATCACCCCCAAACCTCTAGTACTGTCCTCACAAACCGCCACCAGTCTTTTTCACGCACTTTGTCCTCACTCATGCGCGCCCTGAGAAACTTCCCAGGGGTCACCCATCCCAAGACTACTCTCGTCCAAGCACGCTTAACTTTGGAGTTCTTAGCTGATGAGCTCCCTTAAAAGGAGATGCACCTTGTTGGTATGAGTAGTACTATTAATCCGTTTAAATTAAATCTCAAGTATTACAATCACCCCCACTTAGGAACGCAATGTCCTCGTTGCGCCCATAAACCAATCTCAAATCTCAATGAAATCCCAGAATCCTCCCCCACTAAGTGTGTAATACCCCGAAAATTTGAGAGAATTTGGGAAATAATTAAAATTGTGTTTCATATTGTTTACACGGTCTTTAGGTCATTTATTATGTTTGGTTTAGTGTTTGCGACAAAGGGGAGGTCCAAATGGGGAAGAAACGGGGCAAAAACTAAGGTTTGGGGCGTCTGAGGGTCACGCACGGCGTGCGTGGAAGGTACGCACGCGTGCGTTCCAGATGTATCCTAATGCAACTCAAACTTCGGAAATTCACTATAAATACATCCCTAATCCGATATTACCGTATATTTAAAAAGAGTGATTAGCTATAAATTATATTTTGAAAAGTGATACTTGTATATGAATGTGTGAGTTACTAAGAGTTTATAAATATTATTTTAAACACCAAATTAGTTTTGTGGGAAGAAAATGAATTTTTAAAGTTATAATTATGTATAAAACTATTTTCGCCAAACGTGATTATTTTACGGGGTTGGGTGGGCCTTACTTAGCTAAAAAGCTAATTTTTGTTTACTTTTCTTTTGTTTTGTTTCTGCACTTTATTTGTGCAGGTGATGAAGGTTATGCATGATGATGAGAGCTGCGTTAGATCACGTAGTTTAGTATTTATAATCACCTAGTTATTGTTTATTTCAGTTTGAGAACATGTAGACATTTAAATTATTTTTGAAATTTTCAGTACTTAAATACTTGGATTATTTTTGGATGGTGGTTTAGCCTGTGCATTCGGCTAAGAGATAGTCGGATGTGGCGGTGACACCCCTTTTTCCATTAAATTATTGTTTCCGCTGCATTACTATTTATTTTAATAAAGTACGTTTTTACTGATTAATACTATTTCAAGTATTATTTTGGGAGGGAAAATGGGGGTGTTACAAATTGGTATCAGAGACTTTGTTTTTCAAAATCTTTTAAAGATTTTCAAAAAACTTTTTGAATTGAAATATTATTTTCATTAATAAGGATTAATGAATCTTATTAGGGAGGAATTTTATGGCTTAGGCGCGTGTGAGATTGTGTGATTGATTTTTTGTTGTTGTATTTTGTGATGTCTTGGATTGATTTGAGATTTGTGAATTGAATGGAATTTTTCCAATGGTTGCTTATAAGTGTTCCTTATCTTAGAGTATATTGTAAGTTAGTAAAATTGAGAATAGTTATGAGTATATTCCTAGTATCTTATATCTTGTGATCTTATATTAGGTAGAACTTGGTAGGGATCTGTAAGAGTTCCTAGTATTCTGAACTTTGCGTCTCTCTTTTGTAAGAACTATGGCAACCCATAGGAACGTGGTTGAGGTAAGTAAACTCTTAGTATTCTATATCTAGAGCCCTTTTGATAAGGTATTTCCTTCAGTGTTTCATCTCGACTGTATTTTGACTTGAGCTTCGGGGATGAAGCGTCCTTTAAGGGGGGAGAATGTAATACCCCGAAAATTTGAGAGAATTTGGGAAATAATTAAAATTGCGTTTCATATTGTTTACACGGTCTTTAGGTCATTTATTATGTTTGGTTTAGTGTTTGGGACAAAGGGAAGGTCCAAATGGGGAAGAAACGGGGCAAAAACTAAGGTTTGGAGCGTCTGGGGGTCACGCACGGTGTGCGTGGAAGGTACGCACGCGTGCGTTTCTATTGTATCCTAAAGGCCAGCTACAGACGGCCCCCGTGGGACGTACGTCCTCCTACAGATGATGTGTTCCTCAGCTACGTACGACCCCCAGGGGACGTACGTCCTCCTGCACATGAAGTCCTCCCCAGCTACGTACGGCCCCCAGGGGACGTACATCCTCCTGCATATGATGTCCTCCCAAGCTACGTGCAGCCCCAGGGGACGTACGTCCTTCAGCACAAGAGTTCCTCCCCAACTACATACGTCCCCAGCACGCCACCAAGGCCCAAATGGAAACATGGCTTTCGGCACATGCAGCCCCCGGGCGCATGTAGCCGAGGGCGCTCCACTCGACAGGATATCCTCTCCACATTCTCTGAATCACCGCATTGAATGTGGTGTCACGTCCAACCACCGCATTAAATGCGGTGCCACATGCTATGCCGGTGCCACATGCTGTGTCTAGCTGAGTTGACTCCCCATCGTTGCTTACTTGCCACGCATACCCTCATTAATTATGCCGCATTTATGGCAGCTATAAATAGCTAGCCCCTTCTTCATTGTAAAGGATCTCAGATCCGAATCTCGAGTTCATTTATAATACATACCTACTCTCTCTCTCCTACTTGTTGCTCTGACCTCTCTCTTGATATTTCTTATAATATCCCTTGGATAAGCTACCTCCCGGGTACACTATCCATCAGTGACATCGGCAGATATGTCATTGATGGCGTCTAGCTCCCGCGTCAACAGGTTCAGCTCCGTCAATGACGTCCACCATCTATAACAACGACGGTGGAGCTCTTCAACGACAACCATGGTAGTGAGGCTTCGATGCAACGATGACCGAATTTGGCAACCGATTCAAATTAGTTTGCTCTACAAGAAGAACCTGCGGCGATTTCTAGGATTTGCTTTTTTTGGTGCAATGGTTGGCTACATTTGTCGGGTGGGATGCGATGGTTGCGGGGTTGGGAGCTGGAGTGCGGGTGCTGAGGGGGTGTGGCGGTGGGATGTGGTGGTCGCGATGGTGGAGAACCCAGGGTTAGGGATGGGGATGGGTTGGGCTGATGGGGGTGGAGCACTGACTTGTGGGCCGCTCTGGGGAGGGGCTCGGGAAAGGTTGGGCTGGTGGTGGTGGGCAGTGACTAGTGGGACTTGGGAGTGGCTTGGGAAAGGCTGGGCAGGGCATGACAGTGATTAGTGGGGGTGGGTAGGGGGATGGTCTGGGGATGGGGTTATGGTAGGGGAAGGGGTCGGTGCAAGCAGTGTTGGCATTTCACTGGATGGGTGGGGCAGCCGTCAATGGACGAACTTTGTGGTGGTCACTTGACGGGCGGACATTGGTCACAATATGAGCGGACGTCGGTCATTGGATGGACGGACATACATGAAATTGTAACTAAAGGCATGCAACTGTCACTAATATAATTAAATGTTGGTCACTGTAACATTGGTTACTGTAACATTGGTTACTGTAGCGGGTCAATAAAGTCTATAAAGGGTGCAGGGGTCCTTTTAGCCCTTTTTAGTCACATTTTTTGAAATTTTAAAGAAAAGTCACTTTTTTGTCCATGTGTTCATTTTAAGTAATATTGATGTCTTAACCCCTATTTAGTGTAGCTTCTCAAAAGAAAATTTTATTTTTTAAAATCTTTTAAAAGTGATCACGCAATAAATATAAGTAGAATTTTTTAGAAATTTTTAAATGGTATAAAAGATGTAAAGCATAGACTTATGTCTATACTAAGGCTATGTTTGACGGGCATAAGTCTCTACCTTCTAGCTTTTATACTGTTCAAAAAGTCTCTAAATAGTTCTAGTTATATGTTTGACATGACAATTTTTAAGAGCTTTTCAAAAATTAAAAGATCTTTTTTTGAGATGCTACATGTATAGTCTATGTTTGACGGTCATAAGTCTCTACCTTCTACCTTTTGTACTGTTCAAAAACTCTATGAAAAGTTCTAGTTATATGTTTGGCATGACAATTTTTAAGAGCTTTTCAAAAATTAAAAGATCTTTTTTTTGAGATGCTACAGATATAGTCTATGTTTGACGGACATAAGTCTCTACCTTCTAGCTTTTGTATTGTTAAAAAAGTCTCTAAGAAGTTCTAGTTATATGTTTGGCATGACAATTTTTAAGAGCTTTTCAAAAATTAAAAGATCTTTTTTTGAGATGCTACGGGTAGCATCTGAAAAAAGCCTGTGACTTTTAGTATTAATTAGTCCTAACAGTTTGTATACCAAACCGAACTAAATCAAACAGTCAGCTTCTTACTAAACAGCCATCTTTAAGATCTTTTCAGTCACTAAAAGCTAACAGTTATTTGGCACAACTAGCTGAAAAGATACTTTTATGAGCATTTTAGTAACTGTTAGATTTTAGTGACTGAAAAGATCTTAAAAAGAAAAGGCAGTAGCTGTTTGGTAAAAGCCGACTGTTTGATTTAGCTCTGTTTGGTATACAAGCTGTTAAGACTAATTAATGCTAGAAGCTACGGACTTATCTGAGATGCTACTCACTGTAGCATCTCAAAAAAGATCTTTTATTTTTATAAAAGCTCTTAAAAATTGGCGTGCCAAACATACAATTAGAAACTTTTAAACACTTTTTAAATAGTACAAAAGCTAGAAGGCAGGAACTTATGTCTGCCAAACATAGCCTAAGTTGATGACTTTAAAAAAGTCACCTCAATCTCGTTACTATTAAGGAAGATAAAAAATGCACTTTTAATATATAACTATATAAGTAAATATCATTAATATATAGTTATGAAAAAGTTTTTGGGCTACAACGGAGACTAGCTTGTGATACGAGAGGGAACTAGGGAAGAACTCTAATTTTTTTGTACATTGATAATTTCTTATTATTATGTCAAATCTAGTGTTCTAAAAGACAATCAAAAGCGTCACAAATGTGGGCCTAAGCTTGTGGCGCCCATTAAACGCCTCACACTCCTGACAAGCGTGATAGAAGGCGGCCCAATGATCTAAGCTAGGGGTGAGAATTTTTCCCGACTCCCGATCCCGATCCCGATATTCCCGATACCGACAACCCCGTTCCCGACTAGTCGGGAAAATCCCGACATCCCGACACTATATATATATATATATATATATATATATATATATATATATAATTATAATTATATATGAATATATATATATATATAAATGAATATACATATACAAAATATGAATATGTATCTAAATATTAGCATTTTTTTTACTTACTTATTCCTTACATAGATTAATCTTTTATATTACAATATCAAACTTCTAAAACTATTCGGCATTTGTCTCAAACTGAATATTATGGATCCTAACTAAATAAAGATTATTCTTGATCCCGATAATCTAAATCACAACAATAGTACAATTTTTGCGGTTTTGATGAACTCTTTAAAAAATCATGATTGAGAATAAAATTTCTTTCTTTAGTAAATAATCATATATATATACTCCCTCCGTCCCTCTATTATTGTCTCATTTCCTATTCACTTGGTTAACACAAATAACTCTTAATCTCTTACTTTTTTTATCAAATTTTTATCAAATTTGATTCTGGTTTTTGTGACTTTGTAAACCTTTTAATGTAGTTTCTGAATATGCAATTTTTTTTCGTAAAAATAAATCTAGTGCAGACAGGGATCTGTTTGCTTTATCGTCAGTCAAGCATTGTAAACCGTAATGAGACAATAACAGGGGAGCGGAGGTAGTATATATTATATTCATGGGTCACAAAGTTTAATGAGTCTACTTAGTTTTGAATTTTAAAATAATATACGTTACACATCCTTGATAGCTTATTCAAAAATTATACTATTAATTAATTGAAGTTATAAATAAAAATTATTCTAAAGGTACGTACTACTTTGAATTTGAGATGATAATTATGACTATAAATTTTATAAGTGGATGATGATAATATGGTATACTAATGACCAAAGATAAATATTGAAACCACTAAATATCAAAGTTTGTATTTGACTAAAGAAATTACATAATTTCATGTTTGATACATCATTGTCGGGATTAAGCGGGACTCCTGACCAGGAACCCAACTTAATTGGGATTTTAATGTCAGGATCCCGACTTAATCGGGACGGGATACGAGAACCTCTTGTATTTTGAATCAGGATCGGGAAGAGATCGGGATTTTGGCAACCGGAATCGGGATCATCCCGATCCCACCCCTAATCTAAGCCAAAGATCTAGGCCAGAGGTTTGCGTAAGACTTGAGTCTCATTCCACGTTAAAAAGACTACTTTATACACAAATATTAGAGTTGAGTTCTCTCCACTCTCAATGTGGGAAAAATGAATTGGAAAGGAAGACAAAGGAAACCACAACTTTTACGGAGTATACCATGAATTGGAAAGGAAGAAAAATACTAGCAAAATTTTTATTAATAGACCAAAAAAATACGGAGTATTATACTACGTATAAAAGTTAAAATGATCTTGTACGGTAAATTAAGATCATACAACAAGAAAAACAACTTCAATGTTTCCTTATTCCGTAGTATTATAAAATTTGGGGCGCGAAATCAAAAGATACATACTTCCTCCGTCCCTAAATAAAAACATCTGTTTCCTTTTCCGGCCGTCCCTAAATAAAAGTTCCCTTTCCTTTTTTGGCAAACA